AATTTTACGTAGGTTTACGATTTTCTTACGCACCGTAAAAACTTACGAAAGTTTACGCATATATATTTTTGCTGATGTATGAGTGTATCCTCTTAAGACCTGGCTATTCTGTTTTAAATTATAGTCTCTATCTCTTTTGTAGTATCTTTATCTGCCAGAGGATATATATCATAAAAATTATCACCTTGTAGTTCTTGAAATATAAATATACTACTAGTAGAAATTCATTTAGCTTCTCTATTTTGTCTATATGTTTTTCTAGCTCTTCTCTAATAAGAAGCCCTACCCCAAAATTCTTCTTTTTTGTTTTCGAGGCTAAAGACCAAATCCCTCTAAACTTAATATTGTTCTTCACTATAAACCTTGCCTCAGTCTCTTGCAAATTTGTCTCTATAATCTATAAAATATTAAAACCTTTCTTTTCTTCCCAGTTGAGCAACATATCTAATTTATGTCTATATATATTTAGCCTATTTATATTGTGTATTGCCAACTTCATCTCTATTTGTTTGACTAGTCTTAGATTGAATATAGATACTAACTATATCTAAACCTGGCTATTATTTGAGATACCTATATTTGTTAAAACACCAGTAGTATCTTTTAGAAGTGATTGAGGCTATTGCCCTACTTTGTCATCTTTCTAGTAATTCGAGTCTTTTTAAGATTTCATATAGCAAGTCTGTTTGGATATTTTCTCTTCCTTTTCTTTTTTCTAAGACTTGCTAGGTTTTTGGATTTCGCTTTTTGTTTTGACTATTTGAAGGCTATTACTCCTTGTTATTGTTGTCTAAACTTATAAATACCTTTTTTCTCTGTTGTATTTGTGGTTATCTTTTTTAGGTTTACATTTTCTTTATTTGTTAACCAGCTAATATTGGTGTCTTGGGGCTTAAGAATACTGCTTTTTTTTCAATTGTTGATATAGTTTCTTGAGTTCCTCACCACTCAAGTCTACCTATTTTAGTTTTGTTTTGAAATAGTAAACCGTTTGTTCTATTGCTCTTACTTGGTCTTCTTTTGAAGCAAAGTATACTAAGGCTGTGCCTCTTTGGTTTCCATTACTATTTGTCAAGATATAAACTATCTTTGCTTTTATATTTTTCAGTTGTCTTAATAGTGCTAATTTTGCCACTATTTTGAGTAGGTTTTTAACAACTGATTTGAATTTACTTCTCTCTATAAGTGTTTCTTTGTCTAGAAACTCTGGTGTTATTCTCACTATCTTGCTATTTTCAAAGTGTACCTCTTATGAACTTTGTAATTCATTACTTCTTTTTTGATTTCTAAATATAACTTCAACTTGCATAGCCTTTGTTTTGCCATTAGTTATAAAACATTTGACTATTGCTCTTCTATAGAAACTCAGAGCTCTTCTAATTTAATTTGTTTTGTCTTAGTTTCATTAGACAAATCTCACAAGGTAAGACATTTTGTAATTTTGTACAGTTTTTCTCTTATTGTTAGAGTAGTCTTGGTAAATTGGTTGGAGTAGTTTGTTGTCTTCTTTATCTTGTTGCTTTGTGCAGTTTTCTCATGTTGTATATGCTTGGGAGTAGCCTTATTGGGGCCAACTTCTATTCTATCTATGCCTTTTTTTGAGTTGTAGTCGCTTGGTATTTCAACTTGAGACTTGGATTTAGCATTAGCTAATGAATTCAGGTCTGGATTAATTATATCCAGAATCTCCTTTACTCCATAATTAATAATGCCATATTCTGTTAAAAGAAGTATTTCCTTGATATATAACACTTTACTACTCGTTTCTGTGGCTTTGTTTTCTTGTAGTATGGCTAGGCAGTAAAAAAGGTCCTGTTTATTTGTTGTTAAAATATCACCTTTTGTGTCTTTGTATCTTAGCCAGTTAATATTTCAATTGTTTTTCTAATTAAGCTTACTACTTCTACTGAATCTATACAAGCTACATTGCAATATTTTTATTTTTTATTTCTTTTTCTTGCTTGAGCTCTTGAAATAAGATATCACTTTCCTGTTTGTTTTTCCTAAACAGGTCTTTAAATTTAATAAGTTCTTCCATTTTTAAACATGTAATTTGGTTGATATATTAATACATGTAAGAATTGTTTACTCAATACAAGTTACCAAATAATTATATCGATTACTTGTTTTGGCAGTGAAGTGTTATGTGTTAGGTTTGTTGTTCCAATTGATCTATGCTACAGGGTCAATGCCAATTCTCCAAAATACAGAATTTTCACAGAAATTTTTTAAAAAATTGCTAGTTTCATCTTTAACTCTGCCTAAACAAAACTGCTTGAATTTTGCTACTATCTACTCTATAGTAACTTTTTGTACTGCTTCTTTTTGTTTATATATTGAAACCTTGTTAATTAATATATTTAGCTCTATACTGTATATTTTTCTTTAGCTCAAAATTGATATGGAAATTCACAGAGGAGTGTCAATATTTTAATAAATTAATATAAATTACAAGCATTTTTACTAAAATTATTATTATTATTATTATTATTTTCTTTTGATAACTGTATACTAAAGAGTTTATTAAATTTTTGGTACTTTATCACAAATACATGCTTAGACAATTTAACAAAGTAATTAAACAAAGGCTAGCTGTCTTTTAAAGATGTCCAATCTTATTTATCATACCGATATTTACTACTATATCCCACATATGGTGCAGCACATTTAAAGATATAGTCTAGCCTGGGCTCAGCTTTTACTTCAGGACCTCTTTTTTCTTCCAATTTTTCTTTCTTCTTAAGAGGTATAAGACAAAAGAGAGAAAAGTTTAAACTAAGAAACTATGAAAACAACCAAAAAAGAAAACAAAAAAAGAAAAAAAAAACACAAATTCTAAAAAAGAAAAATATAAAAAGAAATCTTGGACTCTAAAGGCACTATTATAACCTATGCATAGTTGGTAAAAATTATATAATAAATGCAATATTTGTATATTTCTCTTGTAAAGCTTTGCCTTAATGTTAAAATTTGCTTTCTGACCTTCCCATCAACTTTAAATGGCTCTGTTGTCTGTTCCAATTCGTATCTTAAGCCAGGTACTGCTGCTGTTCAAGGACCTGTATCTCAAGCTATCTGCTGCTATAATTAGAGTTCCAAGGCTGAGTTCTGTGAAGCAGCACCATATCTGTTTGTAAACAAACACGTAATTGTATTCTACTAGACTGTTCAAATTTGGGAGATAAACAATACCAATCTTTTACAAAGAGTAAACCAAATTTTCACTTTTTGTCAAAAAATTTTGAAAAAAAGACAGGGAGACAAAAAAGAATAGTAGGAACTACTTGGTTAGAAAAAAGGAGTGTGGCTTAAAAAAAGCTCATTCTTTACTATTCTCAGTTGTTTTGCAACCAATAGCTTTGTTGACAGAAGGCTTGGACTTCTATCATTTCTATCTATTTACCAAAATTTCATATATGAGAGCACTATCTTCTGCTAGTTATCTTGTATACAGACACTTTTGGCTTGTATGTAGAATATATAAAGAAGTTCCCAAGATAGAAAAGGTTAACCTTTATAAAAACTGTTCTGTTTATTTACCTCACTACAGGTTACTGAGCGCTACACCCCTAAAAATCAAAATTTGAGCAAATATTAAGTAAACAAATAGTTACTAGCAAGCTTAAACTAAAGAAATTTAATATTGGGTCCTTCAGGACAATAGTCAATCAACAGAATTAGCATATTTGTTACCCCAAAACAAAATTAAACGTACAAGAAACTGCTTTTTTACCACACCACAAACTTTTGAACCCTTTTTCACCCACAACACTCATTCTGTAATAATCTTCATGAATTCCCAAACCACTACCTTCAATACATCCTCTTTGACTTCCAATCAAGTACCAATTAGCCCCCCTCTTGCGAAAAAATGCAAACCAAATGACTCTGAGTTTGAAGCCACATCCATGAACTATTCTTTGACAACACCCCCTCTAACTACTCTTACAACACAACGGCAACAAAGTGGCTTACTCCACACTAACAACAAACAACCCAAATCTGGAGGACCCAACTCAACCACCATGGGAAAAACTATTGAGATTTCTACACCAATCATCACAACAAATAATGTCATTCAACACCTCAATTTGGCCAGTAACCTCTAGTTGCCTGACCCTTCAAGACAACCCGAAATCTCTCAATCAAACAACTCAATTACCAACCTACTTACCGCAGATAATCTAGCTCAACTACCTAACTACACACCTAGCACTCAACAAGACCTACCCATGGACACTTTGTCTAATGCTAAAGTTGAATCCCAACCTAAAAAGTCCTACGCCATTGCTGTCAGAGGCCCACAACAATCCAAACCACGATGTAAAGTGTCAGGTCACCGGGACTTTCAATAGAGTACTAACTTCCTCGAAGATTTGGCCATGCAGCAAACTGACACCTTTGACAAACTCCAATGGCACAATGACCTCATTATCGCTGCTCTTGAAGACATCACCCAACTCAAAGCATTCTTCATCCATAAAATAACTACCCTCCCCACGTCCTATAACATACCACTAGCAATTAAGGAGAAATTCATTCATATGGATACTGCATTTTTCAAATTATTTACTTGTAATCCCTCTACTCAACCTCAACACCAAAAAGAATTTGAAACCTTACTTCACATCACAACTGAAAGATATAAATGTTGTCACAACGTTCAATATATCAACAAGACAAATTGTGACCAATTATTCCAAAAGCTCAGAACAAAATTAGCTCTTGACTTCTTATACAACCTTGACTTTATGCTAAAAAGCCCATATAATATTACTAGATATTTCACTTACCTTCTAAATTTTGCAAAACTCACCACACCCTTTGACTTCGAAAAAATAAGAGCTACTCTTAACATAGCTTATACATCTCTTCTCAAATCTCTTCCATCCTCTCCTAGAGGTATTACAGAAAATATTCATAATATCTTACTATTTTCTCTACTGCTCAAAGACCATAGTGATACCCGGGCAGCTGTGCTTGTGCTTCGGAAAATTTATACCTTCGACAAGTTAAATGATAACTACTTTGTAGTTCAATTGTTGCCTCTTCCCTCTCATCCCTCAGAACTTCACCCTGAAATCAGGGAATTTTTCCCCATTACCAAAAGATCCCGACTTTCTTACCTTGCCCTTTATCACCAAAAACTTGCTAAATACTATGTCATTGGTAAAAAAATGCCACCATCCTTTTTCAACTTACCACTACCAAAACCTAACTTATCTAGCACCCTACAAAATTTAAACTCAGCAACAAGACACCTCTTTCCCTGCAATCCTACTGACTCCACCAACTTCTGTCATCTCATAGATATCCTCTGCCAACATTACAGTTTCAAACGGGTTCTCTCTAACTTTTTTGTTTAAAAAAAACCTCTCCCTTCAGATTCCACAAAAGTCACTACTAAAAAAAAGTTTTTCTTTCCCATTAATGATATAGCACTTGCGAATTTCTAGCAAGCATACAAGCCAATTATTGTTTTAATTTGCCCTTATTAGAGCAATACATGACTATTAACCCCACAAACAAACCTTATCTCCCACTAAATGCTGAAGAGGTAAAACTAGTCAACATCACTACACCAATTATAAGCCCCAAAGTGTTAGTAGAAACTGCTCGCTTGTTAAGAGAGCATTACTACTTCAAGCAAATCCTCAAGAATTGGATAAATATCCCACAAAAACCTACAACTGAAACTGACCGACCTTTATTTCCACACACACTAGAAAAAAATTCAACATCTACCTATATCTGAATTCATCCAACTACTAGTCACTTTTCAACAACAGATCAAATTGGCTATCTCATTTCTTCATATTCACTTTACCTTTAAAGAGATCCCTCCCTATATTACCAATATTCCTGAACTCCCTGTACCAAAATGGGAACTATTTGACAACTACATCCCAAATGAATAAATTCACTGAAATTTATAATCAACTATCACAACCTATCGACTTATCTTTACTTTTTACTTCTGCCTTACCAACCATCAATACTAACCTTGATTCACACGCTTTTGGTATTAAAATAATGAATCACAATGTCCAAGGACTTAATCAATCAACTAAACTCCAACTATGGCTAGAGGACTGTCATCAACAAGATATAGACATAATAATAATGACTGAGACCAAACTAGCATCAGCCCTCTCCCATCATCACTTAGCTAATCCTTTTTATAAAATCTATACTTCTAACTGTGATTCCGATACAGCTACAATCAGAGAATCAGCTAAGGGAGTTGCTATCGGCCTCACTCCCACTCTTCAACCTTACATCCATTCTATTCAATTTACTCTGGGCCTCGCATTAATGATGGATTTATTTCTACCAAATCACAAAACCCACCTTATTGCCATATACCTTCTCTCTCAACTAATACATCAATCCAAAACTGCACAAACACAAGTCAACTCCTGGCTACTTCAAGGGCTCCAACTCAACTATAACATCATTATCGCTAGTGACTTTAATAGCAACACAAACCGAAATCACTTTCAGAAACAATGCCCACTCCTTCAATACCTTTTAAATGCTGGACTAATTAGCTTTATGCAACTTCATGGAAATAGCAGCCCTACCTGGACAAGAAACTTATCCTCAAGTCAAATCAATAATATCTGGTTAAACCCTCAAATTGCCTCAGCTTTCTTAGCTATCAAAATACAAAACCAATCTACTACAACTAATAGCATCCACAAATCACTGCTTACCTTCTGGTCTATCTTAAAACCACCGCCTTATAGATAAAAAAAAACAATTCAGAAGAGTTTTTGATTATAAAGCAACAAAGGCCGAACACTGGGATGATTTTACTAAATATATCACCTATCATTTATTTAATTCCTCTTATGCTGATCGACCAATTCTAAATACAGAATCGCTAAACAAAAGCTGGACAAATTTTAACAATATTATCAAACAAGCAGCAACTAAATACTTAAAATACTCGACCAAATGCAGCTTAGCTTATCACTCCCATTCCTTTTAAGCGACTTCAAAATATAAAGGTCTAAAAAAATAAACGGAGTTATCCATTTACTAAATAAACCTCCCCTCTTTTTTATAATAATCTGACTCAACTAATCAACACCAATCTAAAGCGTGCAAGTGAACTACTAGAAACAGACCTAATACAAATCACTTCCGTTGATCTTGAAACTGTCAACTTTCAAGCAACATTTCTCAGATTAAACACTATATGCAAATCTGCTTATAATGCTCGCCAAATAAAGAAAAATAAAACCAGAACTAACACAATTATACTCAATATTTATAAACGCTATAACAACTTTACCAACAACACTACTGCTATGATCGATAGCATTCTAAAACACCACCACACACCAATCTCTTTCCATAATATTATTACCCCTACCCAAGTCATTACTAACCCTAATGGAATCCTTAAAGAGACAGCCAAACACTTCGAAAACTGGACTAAGTATAACCCACCCAATGCAATGCTTTGGCAAGAATGGCAAGAACACTACAAACCCAAAAAAGATATACCAAACAATCTATACCACAAGCTTATGTCACCAATCACTTCCGAAACTGTCATTTCTATTATTAAGAATGCCCCAACTAACAAAGCAACTAGCCCTTCGCTAATTTCAAATAAAATACTAAACAGATTATCCTCTGTAGCCATCAAGCAACTCACAATCATTCTAAATACCTGCCTCTCTCTACAAACAATTCCTTCCCAATGGTATCAAGCAGTGGTCTGGCCAATACCAAAGAAAGGATACTTACTAAGTGACTTGAGCAAAACATGCCCTATTACTCTAATTGAACATTCCTATAAAATCCTTACGAAAATATTAACTAATCGCTTAAACCAAGCTCTTCTTCTTACTAGTGTCCTAGATCCGGCAAACAATGTGGCCCTCTCCTTCACCTCTACTACTAACCCTATCCAGATTATTACTCACATCCAAGAGGACTCTTACCTATTCAATAAAGAGCTTTGGATCCTGTTGCAAGACATGTCCAAAGCTTATGATTCAGTAAATCTGCAGTTGCTCCAACTAGCCCTTCTTTGTATCAAACTGCCCACATTATTCATTACTCTTATTACCAATATACTAATACACTATCAAAACCAAGTCATTACTACCTTAGGCAAAACCCTAACTTATAATGTTTATGCTGGTATTGATCAGGGAAAAACAATTTCTCCAATACTCTGGCGTATCTATTATGACCCACTTATCACCCATATCACTAAAGAATATTCAGGCTATGAGATAGTTGCATCCTTATCCAATTCTTTTCTTATTTTCCATACTCCTGTAATAGTGTACATAAATGATACCACCTGGATTGCACCTAATCGTAAATCATTAACCGATATCCTAACTACTGCTTCCTCATTTTACTCATTTACACAAATCACAGTCAACCCCTCCAAATCTGTTTTATTCCACAACAACTTTAATGACACAGATCCAATAACCTTCAACAACTAACCACTCTACAACTTATCCAAACATAAAACATTTAGATTCCTAAGAGTATATATCGACTATACTATCCACAAATCATATGCAACAAAAAGGATAAAAAGTGAATTCACATCAGAAATCAACAAATTAAGATATGCAAAAATAACTGAAAAACAAGCAACCTACGTAATTAATACCGTCTTGTTGGCCAGACTCCGTTACCTTCTGACCAATTTACACTTAAGCAAATCAGACTGTGATTATTTATAGCGACAATGCTTCAAAATAGTTAAGCAAAAAGCAAAACTAGCTCGCAGCCTACCAAACTCAACACTCCTTCTACCATTCACATATGCTCTTACCAATATAAATCAATTCCAACAGTCATACCATGTCACCCTACTGGACAAGATCATCAACTCTATGAACACACTACCTTCAACCTATATTCGTCTTCAGCAACTACAAGACAGCTCACTCTCTAACAAATCTATCTTACATGTCACACCTATCTTCACTTGGAAAGATTCCAAATGTTTTACAGCCAAACTTATTCTTAATTCAAACCATTTACATATTTAATAGCAAAGAGAACAAAATTCTTGGCCAATTGTACACAAATCTAACGGTCATACCATCAACTCTATTCTCCAACAAATAAATAATGCATCAAAAATCAAACACAATCTCAATAAACACAAAATTTCTGACATAAAACAATTCCTGAATTACAACAATACCGAAATAGTGAATTGGTCACAATTCCATCACAACATTGGCAAAATTCCTAGAGGAAGAATACCCTAATGATTCACAAAGATATCCCAAATCCTCCAAACAACTATCAACACTCTACCTGAACTAACAAACCCCAATCCCTTTATTTGGAAGCAACAATCCAA